GATTTTCTTGTTCGTACCTGAGCTCAGTGTCAACTCTGCAACACACACACACACACGTACACACACACACATAAAGAATAACAACAAACACACCGCTGCCTTTCATCCCTCATCCTCATCCAGAGAGAGAGAGAGAGAGGTGCCACGTCGACACACACACACCTCTTTTGTGTTTAAACTGCGTGAGCGTGTGTGTGTGTGTTTGTTGTGTTTACACGTCTTATGAGGACATGAGGAAAATGAGCGTTTTAAATTTGTACTAATATTAATTGGATTTTATAAAGTTAGTATAAAGTCTCTCTCTCTCTCTCTCTCCCTCCCTCTCTCTGTCTGTCTGTCTGTCTCTCTCTCTCTCTCTCTCTCTCTCTTTCTCTCCCCCATCACACCAGTACAACACTAACGCCCTGATGAAGGTCATTAGGCTGAAACACCTCAGCGTCTTTTCCTTCTTTTGTCTTACCTTTCCACACAAGTGTGCCTGTAACCGCTTCAGAGACCGCTCCACTACCAAACGGAGGTAAGCGGGTCTACTGCTATTTTTTTTCTGCTATTTGTCCCTACTGCAGCACGCCTTGTATTACTCAACATTACAGCTTCCTTTCCTAGTCCATACCATTCTCTACAGAATCACATTTTTGATTTAAAGAAGTTTTTTTTCATGTTTGCTTTTAAGACGCAAAATTCAATCCGAACATTTTCACAAATTGAAACAAATGTAAATACATTAAAGTTTAAAGATGTGGACTGTTGTACTCTGCAGAGATATTAAAGGACTCTGGACTCTACCTCTCTCCTGTTGTACAGTATCTCCCTTTTTAGTTTTTTGTACAGATTATATTTTCTTAATTGTAATTCATTTATTTTTTTCTCCTCTCTTATGTTTATATTGCTCTTCTATTTTTATACTTTCAGTTTTTTTGGTTAATCTGACTCTGGGTGAAATGTTCCTGTGCAGGACAGTACAGTTAAGTTTCCTGGATTTAAAGTTAAAGACCGAGTGTGGCGTTGATGTGTTTGTTTTAAATCAGTATTTTTTACAGTGCAGACTCTCGGTCTGCAGATTTATCCACGGCAGAACACAAAATCCTCTTTGATATCATCTCTGTTTATTCTGTAAAAAACACCGTCTGCTGTGAGTGTTATTCACTACAACACACAAATACAAAAGCTTAACTTTATAAAATGACACATTCATGTTTCTCTGTGTTTTTAACCGTTCAGCTCATGTAAAAACAGACTCGGTGTGTGCAGAGGTTATCTATCCAAGTTATCTGAAGTTGTTTGAGGTGAACCTGCAGAGACCGGATCATCATCAGGGTTTAAGGAGGATTCAGAGGGTCAGGACTGAAGGAAAGTCTGATCCTCAAACACAGACATGAAGACATTTCATCACGACGCTCAGAGCTGCTGCGGAGACTGAAAGTAATAAAGATAAATGTTTGAAGCACTGAAGAAGAAGCAGAACTAAAACTATAATCCTGTCAGGTTATTAAAAAACCAGCACGAGGACTCTGAGAGAGACGCTCACAGCACACACACACACAACAACGTATATATTTAAAGTTAGATTACATCAGCTGATACTAGCCTCCATAATATTACAAGCTAACCTGGAGTAAACTCACTTCACCTTGATGTTTAATATTCATTCATTTAAATGATTGACATGTGATCAAACTTTTGTTTTCTGTTGTTGAAAGATTTTATGAATATTTGTGTATCATCTGCGTAAAACATTTATAAACAAACAACAAGAGGACCCAGAATGATTCTTTGAGGAACACCATGATCATAAATAAATAATATAATTTTAATCACAAATTGTTCATCTGTAAATCAGGATAAAGAGTTTTTACATCCTGAAGAAATCATCGTCAAATCATAAATTCTCTATTATTAATCACATTTTTATGTCACAGAAAACTCTGAGGTTTAATTATCTTTTTGTTTACTATATAAATATAAAGTTGTGTTACCTCATGAAAGTAGCAGGCACACCGTCGCTGCAGAACACCTGTGTGTGTTTCTACCTGTCCTCTGTCTTTAATCTTCCCATGGACAAACTTCAAAGAGCAGACCCCACCCTGAGTATCAATGAACCCTTCTGTTCACCAGGGACCCCACACCAGGGGCCCCACAGCATGACCGAACCCCCCGCCCTTCATCCACCTGAGAGGGAGTGAGGCCCACAGGTGTGTCAGAGCACAGGTGAGGAGGGCAATATCAGACAGAGAACGCATTCAGCACCAACGAAGAAGAACCTGACAGGATCACTCTTATGCTGCAGATTCAAACAAACCTTCAGACATGTCTGATAGTATGGAGGGCGGGGCTACCTGAGATTCACAGGTAGATACCATGGTGACCTAATCATCGTCTTGTACAACGTGAGGTTGTTCTCAAAGATCCTGGGAGGAGTCAACTGTTGAATATTTTATTTAAATCCTGTTTTTAGCTTCCAGTAATATCACAGGTACTATGACTTACAGGTGTGCTATGCTATCAAGCCAATAGCAGAGCAGCTAACCTACCTGCAGGAAGCTGCAGGTCACATGATCTCCGAACATGGGCAGACTGGGCTGGCTTTCACGGTACACATGCACGGTGTAGATCGTCATGACGACGGGCTCCGTCTCAGCATCGTCTGTCACCAGGATGCTGATCCGGCTGTTGCCGAGGCCGACCGGGTAGTTCGCCATCCTGAAGAAAAATTAAAAAAAAAAAAACGTTAACCTGAGCTCGTGAGGTCAGAGGTCAGGGGTCAGAGGTCAGAGGTCAGAGGTTTAGGGGTATGGTCTCACCTGGGCCCTCCGTGCTCATCAAGGTGGACCCGACACGCAGAGCTGACGGGCTCAGGACGGATTCTAACGGTCACTGTGTCAAAGGTCACCTCGGCACGATACTCCTTCAAGGTGGGGTTAAAGGGCGGAGTCAGAGTGAGGGGCGGGTCCGTGTAGATCTGTCTCAGGTGAGGGTCCACACAGGAGCCTGAAGCACACACACACACACACACACACACACACACACACACACACACACACACACACACACAGGTTATTTTTAGTGACTAAATTAGCTGAGGTGAAAGTTAGCAGACAGTTAGCAACTCCCCCATAAATCAAAGAGGCCACGCCCCTAATTCTACATAAATTTAATCCTTAAAATAATGTAAACAGGTGAGTTGTGTAAACAATTCATCCCGTACAGATGTATTTTTGTTTTTGTACCAGGCCATAAACATGTTTATTTATACTATATGTTAACATGGGGCTCTATGGGGACTGAATCACTGCAGGAGACAGCCTCTAGTGGACAATGGAGGAACTGCAGGTTTTAGAACAGGCAGTCAACATGTTTATTTCTGCTGTAAAGTTTGAGTCTCAGATCTTATTCCCATTCATTTTGTGACACAGGTTGAGGAAGAGTCTCACCTTCATCCTGCGAAATCGACAGAGCTGACTCCTGATTGGTCGGATTTTCTGCCTCATCAGTTCTGTATGAAACACGAAAACATAAACAAACATTAAGAAGAACAATAACAGCTGATGAGACAGATGTTTGCCGTTTACAGATTCACAGACTGACCCGAGGCTTTGATTTCTCTGGAGCTCGTAGAGTCGAACGATACTTATCAGAAGATCTGAGACGCTGAGAGGAGGAGGCGGGGAGGAGGAGGAAGAGGAGGAGGAGGAGGAAGAGGAGGAGGAGGAGGAAGAGGAGGAGGAGGAGGTGGAGGAGAGGCTGGGGTACAGCTACAACAAGAGAGAGAATAATTCTGTTTCAATATCAAACCAAAAATTTAAAACACAGACATACACTACTCTGCACTGCTTTGTGCTGAAATATATATTTTTTTATTTACCAGGCGAAAAGCTGAGGGTGTTTTAATCTGCTGCTGAAACTGTAGAAGAAGAAGAAACTCTTCTTCTGTCAAACAGACGCCCAGTGTCCCTCTGCAGCCACCGTACTGACACAGAGACACAGAGACAGCATGCACGGTTAACTGAATGATTTATCAATTCATTTATTCAGTATTACACTGTTTGGTTTCAGACTCACCTGTCTCCCTTCTGTCTGCGTCTCTGAGGACAGGTGTGTGTGTGAGGACAGCAGGAAGTGCAGTGTGTCCTCCAGGATCAGGTCTTTGGTGATCTGTCTGTCAAAGGTGTCATCACTCAGAGAAGAAACATTCAGATCAACGTCTACCTGAAAAAAAAACACACAAAGAAAACATCAGACCGACCAATCACAGAGCAGCTGAGGAGACACTGCCCTCTGCTGGACGATTATTGTCAGTGCACCTGAAGGAGGAAAAACTGATCCAACAGCTGACAGAGAGAGGGGGTCTGTCTCTCACCTGTCTGCCTGTCTCTCACCTGTCTGCCTGTCTCTCACCTGTCTGCCTGTCTCTCACCTGTCTGCCTGTCTCTGTGTGTGATCACAGGTAGGCTCTGAACAGACCGTGTACTGTTCCCAATGGGTTCATACAAAGGTCACCGATTACATCATCATCAAAGAGTCTTTATGAGAGTGGTGTTTTCAAAATAAAAGCCTTCCCCGTTGGATGATAGCTGTGTGTTTACAGTGATTAAAGTGATGAAGAGGAGTCGCTGTGATGATGACGAAGGCTCGGCTTCTGAGTTGTCCACCTGCACAACAACGGTTCTCAAACTGAGGCCTGTGACCCCTCAGGTAGGACGCAGCGTGATGAACAAAGTACAGGACAAACATTTCTGCTGAATGAAACATTAACTGTTTTAATTAAATATCAGAGGTCTGAAAATGTTCACATCAATAATCTGAGAGGATAATAAACACTCACTGAGCAGCAAAGATGTGATGTCTCACTCTGTGTTAAATATCTGCACAGACGGTCAGATTAAAAGAAGGTGTGAGGCTCCTGAACGCATCATGTATAAACTCTTACCTGGACCACGACAGGTGTGACCGAGCCGCTGAACTGCAGAGTGAAGGTCATCAGCTGGTAGCACAACACACACCTGAAACACACACTCTGCATTTAATAATAATAAAAATAAATCAATTTATCTATTAATATGATCCTTAAAAAACAAGCCGAGACATTTAAAGGATGTAAAACATAGACTCTGACGTTTCTGTTACCTGTTGAGTGTTTCTTTCTCCTGATTGGTCGACAGGGCCGCCTGCAGCACCTCACCTATCACCCTCTTCACCTGCCCCAAAGCATCATGGGAAGTGTTTGGTCCTAACTGCTGCAGCAGGAAGTCGCTGAGCTGAGAGAGGAGGAGGAGGAGAGATGAGATCTTAGAGTTTAACCAGCAGGGGGCAGCAGAGGCTCAAACAGAGAATTGATTTCTTCAGTAAAAAAAAGTCGGGCTGAGTTTTAATGATTGAGATTTACCTTTAAGGCCCGCCCCCTCTGCTCCTGATTGGTCATCACAACGCTGATGGCATGCATGAAGGAAATGAGCGGGTTCACTGATGTCACCAGGACGTAAACATTCACCATGGCAACCAGAGCAGGAGGTGGGGCTTCGACAGGTGAGTCACTGACAGACGAAGAAGAAACATGAAAACTACAGAACAGGTGAGTTTACCTGCAGGTCACAGACTGACGCTCACCTGTCCACAACCTCCTGAGGAACCTGCAGCTTCTGATTGGTCAGTCCACAGGAGTGAGGCCTCATGGGTAATTCTGACCCTGAGAGGTGAAGCAGAGACAGGTACGTCAGTTTGCAGGAGGTCCCCCTTACCTGTCTCTACGCCTTATTTACACACACCTGCTCAGGTGACCTTTGACCTGTTTGCTATGTGACCCACCTGTCAGGTACGAGCGAGCGAGGAAGTGACAGAGGCCTGCCCCTGCATCGGAGAACGCCTCCATCAGCTCAGGAAGCAGGTTCACCTGAGGAAAAAACAGGCAGACAGGTGAGTAACCATGGTAACTTCCAACCTGCCTCTGATTGGCTGCAGCACCTGTACAGGTGAGTCTCACCGTCTGATGGAGCTGCAGGCGAGAGAAGGAGATCCTCCTCAGACAGCTGCTCTCTGCGGAGCTGAGACACAGTAACAGGCTCCACCCACCCACACCTGTAACCATGGAAACACAGAGAGAAGACATTAAACCTGTAACCATGGAGACAGACAGGAAGTTACACCTGTATCCATGGAGACACAGAGATGGAGTAAGCCCTGTAACCATGGAAACACACCTGTAACCATGGAGACACAGAGAGAAGACATTTAACCTGTAACCATGGAGACACAGAGAGGACATTACACCTGTATCCATGGAGACACAGAGATGGAGTAAGCCCTGTAACCATGGAAACACACCTGTTACCATGGAGATAGAGACAAAAAAAATACAATGCAATTTTAGTTTTAAAATGTCTAAATGTTAAAGGTTTAACGGTTTACCTGTCCAGGTGAAAAACACAATATTTCAGTGAAATGACTGAGTTGAGAATGAATCGATTTGAACTCCTCCTGCAGTTTAGACGGTGTGCAGGAGTTTGCTGGCCGCGGTATCAAACGGGTGTTGATATCATTTGAAGATTAAAAGGTGGTAACAACATGACATCAAACGGAGCCTCTCACAGTTTAAAGTTTCTGTTGTTTCACTTAGAAACATGTGAAGCTCAGAGAAATCTTTATTTTCTCAGGGATGAGGACGGAAACTGTAGACTGAACAAATACAGAAGAAAAGAGAGAGAGAGGGGGGGAGGAGGAAGCGGGAGGAGGAGGGAGGAGGGGGAGGAGGGGGAGGGGGACAGGAAGCGCCGAGTCCAAACATGGAGTCCAACAGAAACATGTGTTTGTGATTGTGGAGCTCACAGGAAATGTTGGGCTGTGACTCTCTGAGGTTTTATAAAATCTGTTTATCCCAATAAGGACTTTATTATCCTCTACTTGAACACTTTATATAACACACACACACACACACACACACACACACACACACACACACACACACCACACACACACACACACACACACACACACACACACACACACACACACACACACAGACACTTTGGAGGGTAAGAAGGTTTACGGTTTAGTTTTAAAAGTAGAGGCGGTTATGATGGCGTTCAGGTCAGAGCAGGAAGTGGGGCCTCCGACTAACACACCTCCACCTGATGACCGGGGTCACGAGAGGTCAGATTGGGACGAGTAATGGATTAAATAAAAGTGATTCTGTATTGAAAGGGGAGCCGGTGAAGTGAACAGCTCTCTGCAGTAATCGATATTTAAATGTATTTTAATGTCTCTGATCTGTCTGGGTGTTCGTTTCTTTAAATCTGAGCAGCTGCTGCTGTTTGAAGTTTATGGAGCTCATTAAACATGTTAGTATGTCTGTCTCTTCTTCACCTGCTGGTACAAACATTAGGCCCCGCCCCCCTGCTGTGCTCTGATCAGGACAGATGCTGCTGTCAGTCATCTCGCACACCTAGCATTAGCATGCTAACACAACAAAGCAGGACAGGTGATTAGAGCTCGAGACAAGGACAATTTTTTCCAACGCTGTCGCTTCATGGTGCTTTATGGAGAGTTGTATTTGTGTGAACATCGTGAGTGCAGAGGGCCGACATCCACTGGATCAAAAAGTCACACATTCTTCCTTTAAAGAATACATTTTCTTTTTTTAATTAAGATATTTGGAACTACAGTTCCCACCATGCACTGGGGATACAAGAAGCTGAAAATAGCTGCATGAGCTCTACTTCTGCTTCATCCTCCATTCTCATATTTCTTTGGTTTATGTTCAACATTTATGTATTTAAATGAATAATAAAGATAATTTAAAGTGTTTATATAGAACCTCTGTCAGTCTGCTTTAAATTCACTGAAGTGTTTAAAAACTGTGTCCTGTTTGTTCTGCAGCTGCTCTGTTAGTCCAACAGGAAGTCTCCACCCAACACACACACACACACACACACACACACACACACACACACACACACACACACACACACACACACCATTAGTGAGTGTTTATGTGTTCCTCGCTGCAGTCTGACTTCACACTCTCACAGCTGAGCTCCTCAGAACGCTGATTCCTTCCTCTAATAACTTTATTAATATTAGTAAACAAACAAGATGAGGATCTGTTCAGACTGCTGCAGACAGTGCTGAGAGGATCTTTACATCAGAGCGTCCTCTAGTGGACAAACTACGACATGACACATTTATAAACCAGCTTACTGTTTTACATTTTCTGTAAATTCAAAAACACTTCACAATGTCATACATTTATGGAGATCTTCATACTGTGTGTGCATGTTGTCACAGCGCCCCCCTCAGGTTAAAAAGTGTATTGTTATAGCGCCCCCCTCAGGTTAAAGAGTGTATTGTTACAGCGCCCCCCTCAGGTTAAAGAGTGTATTGTCACAGCGCCCCCCTCAGGATAAAGAGTGTATTGTTATAGCGACCCCCTCAGGTTAAAAGTGTATTGTCACAGCGCCCCCTCAGGATAAAGAGTGTATTGTTATAGCGCCCCCCTCAGGTTAAAGAGTGTATTGTTATAGCGCCCCCCTCAGGTTAAAGAGTGTATTGTTATAGCGCCCCCCTCAGGATAAAGAGTGTATTGTTATATCGCCCCCCTCAGGATAAAGAGTGTATTGTTATAGCGCCCCCCTCAGGATAAAGAGTGTATTGTTATAGCGCCCCCCTCAGGTTAAAGAGTGTATTGTTATAGCGCCCCCCTCAGGATAAAGAGTGTATTGTTATAGCGCCCCCCTCAGGTTAAAGAGTGTATTGTTATAGCGCCCCCCTCAGGATAAAGAGTGTATTGTTACAGCGCCCCCCTCAGGATAAAGAGTGTATTGTTATATCGCCCCCCTCAGGATAAAGAGTGTATTGTTATATCGCCCCCCTCAGGATAAAGAGTGTATTGTTATATCGCCCCCCTCAGGATAAAGAGTGTATTGTTATATCGCCCCCCTCAGGTTAAAGAGTGTATTGTTATAGCGCCCCCCTCAGGATAAAGAGTGTATTGTTATAGCGCCCCCCTCAGGTTAAAGAGTGTATTGTTATAGCGCCCCCCTCAGGATAAAGAGTGTATTGTCACAGCGCCCCCCTCAGGTTAAAGAGTGTATTGTTATATCGCCCCCCTCAGGATAAAGAGTGTATTGTTATAGCGCCCCCCTCAGTTCAATCAGTGAACTCTCACCGGTGTTTAGTCGTAGCGAGCTGCTCGTCTCGGCGTAGCGTGATCTCTGGACCTGGTAGTCGAGCTGCTGCAGGACTCGTTGGTACAGCTGGATCTCGGTGTCAGAGCTCGAGTGACGACCCGTCAGAACCACGACCCTACGCCGACGGGGGGGCGACTCAGACCGGACCTGGACCTGAAGAGGGGGGGACACAGACACACCTTCAGATCAGCGTCTGAAACAAACAGAACTCAGAGACAGCTGGAGGTCGTTAGCCTAGCTTAGCACAAACAATGGAAACAGAGGGAAACTGCTAGCCTGTTCTATGCTAGGCAGGAATAGCTAACATATCAAACACGCCTGATGTTATCAGTTTAGTTCCCATGTGAACTCTTCTTCTAGTGTTTTTAAAAGAGTAGAGGCTCTGTGAGTGTTTCCATCTGAGGTCAGACTTCAAAGATGTTCTATAAAAACAGACGCTCTCCTCCTCACACTGTTTTTATCTCTGATCCTCTGCAGCTGGAC